CATCCATGCATCCATTCATCCATCCATCCATGCATCCATCAATCCATCCATCCATGAATCCATCCATCAATCAATCAATCAATCAATCAATCAATCAATCCATCCATCCATCCATCCATGCATCCATTCATCCATCCATCCATGCATCCATCAATCCATCCATCCATGAATCCATCCATCAATCAATCAATCAATCAATCAATCAATCAATCCATCCATCCATCCATCCATCCATCCATCCATCCATCCATCCATCCATCCATCCATCCATCCATCACTGTATATTTCCAGTATCCATATTTCCAGTATCAGTTCATATTTACCGAGTAAAAAAAAGACATTATAACAACCACTCATATTGTTGTGTGATCAAATGCTGACAACGATTTTATTTTTTAAAGCTGCAGCTGCCAAATCAATGTGTAGCATAAGAGTCTCCCCCCCCAACATGGCTATTTTTAATTCTGAATACCAGAGCAGCTCTAGAATCCATTTGTCGGTGCGATTTATAGCCTCATAAAGGCTATTTGCTGATGCGGACAAAAAGGCAGAGGCTCTTGTTGCCTCTCCCTTCCAACTCTACCCTTAATCAGAGATACAATTATAACCTGTAGGTAGGGCAGGCGACCATTTACTCTGCTGCTTTCATGTCCAATAGTACACACACATTCAGGAGATAAGTTGGGATTTTTTTTTACTCATGTCTATGTCTTGTGTTATGAAGCTCCTTCGGTTTGAATGAGCTGAAAGGAGAAAATAGCAGCTTCATTGCTGCTGGTGTGACTTATAGTAGTTTTCTTGTCTGTCACACTTTCTTTCACCCTAATTTTTATGTTACCAGGAGCAACATCAGGCAGGATGTCTTTAAAAGGCATATCTGTTTGGCTGTATTTGCTCATGCAAATGTTTGGATTCTTACCTTTCACGTCCCCCAGTAGTTCGTTGGCGTTAAGGCCTTCAACGTGCTCCTTCCAGTCTTTGGAAAGCAGCCTCACCACGCAAGAGGGTTCTGGAAAACACAAATAAAAAGCATTATCATTTCGTAGTAAGATTTCATACCATTTAGAAACTTAAATTAAAATGAAATAAAAAACGACATTGAAAAAAAAGCTTAAGAGAAGAACGTTAATAAGGAACACAGTAAATTGCATGAAAGAGAGGAAAGTCGGATCAACAGCTCAACAAATAAGTGTTTATTTTTTATTTTTGTGCGTCTGCAACTTGTTAAATTCCACAATATCCTCCAGCTTCTTCTCCAAAAACATGAAAAACAGCAGCAGCCATGCAGCTGACCGATATGACAATGTCTTCATTATACAGACATGAGCTCTTTTTTGCAGCTATCTTCTTTTCTCACATTGTGTCTCGTAGCCTCGGGATCACAGACAGCGGAGACACGTGGTCGTACGTGGTCCTACGTGGTCATGAGATTCATAAGGTCCCATTTGTTCAATAGGAGTCCTGCGCTGAACTTCACTCAAACAATGGGAACTTTTTTGAGAGCCCAGCACAGACAGAGAGAGGCTCTGATTCGAACTTGCACAAGAAGCAGCATCTTTTTGTGTCTAAATGATATTATAAAAAAAAAAAGATATGCATTGTTAGGCTAAAATGAGAGAAGTAATTTTCAGAAGTTTCATTATTTAATTTCTTGATTTATCATTAAAAAATGTGGTTTCTTATGTCACCTCCACAGAGAAGTTCTGTGTTTGTGGCGAGTACATTATCAATCCATCTTCTATCACTTTACCATGGCAGGGAGTCACCAATTCTCTTACAGTCCTGTTTTTAGACTGTAGGAGGAAGCCAGAATACAGGGAGAGAACCCATGCATGCACAAGGAGAAAATACAAGCTTCATGAGGAGGAACTGGGACTCAGGACCCCGTTTTTGAAACACAAAAGTGCAGCAGACTGCACCACCTTGCAGCCTGCAAGTAAATCCTTAATTACAGCAGCAATGTTGACCAACATCCACCTGGACTGAGATGACTGTAAATCTCTCTCCTCACCCGACTCCTTTGCAGTTTACTAAAACCTCTCATATAAGTATTAACTATCGTGTGCACTTATGGCAAAATTCTGACTTCACAATCTTGACTTAAACTAGAAAAAAATAGTTAATCGGATTACATTTTATTTAATGATGTAAGACTAAAGGAGGCAGATAAGCAATGCATGACACATTTTGCATTAAAGGAAAAAGTTGAGTGAGATCTAAAAACTTTCAGTAAACATTTGTGAAGTAAAGAGTGTGTTTCAGAGTATGTGGAAAAGCTAAATACAAAGAAAAAAATCAGGTGTTATTATGTGCTTCTATCAATAGGTTATGAAATGTGTTCCAGGGGTGTGAATACTATTCCAACGCACGGTAGGATAAAAGCTTCCCACCCCTGTAGAGCTGCCTGACACACTCCTTCAGTTCAGGAGTTTGTGTGCAAACAGCGGTTTTCATGCCAGCGTGCGACACCACAGATGGTGTCACAGCCACGCAGGGCTCTGTGCCAAAGCCTAACCCGTGGATGTCAAAGAGACACACACACGCACACACACACACACACACACACACACTAGGAAAAAAAAAGAGACATTCTTGGGCTCTGCGCGGAAAACATGCCCCTGAGGGCTTGCTTGATTTAGAATGGTTAACTTAGACAATAGCTCATTTGTGGCGGCTTCATCCTGACAAAAGGCGCTATAGGCACTCATATCGGCACATGGTTCATTGTGAGCGGCTTAATGTTGAGTTTGTACGTTCGGGCCGACTGTGCGGTCATGGGATGCTTTCCTCCAGCCGAGCACAACTTCCTCGTTGAGCTCATTAAAGCCCAACATGTTTACAGTGGAATTGTGATTGCTGTAAATAAGCTAATGCAGGGGTCTGGATCATAAGGGATCAATGTAAACAAAGAGGGGAGATGGCTGCTTACCATAGCAGAGAACGGTGCATAAGCTGCAGGTATTATTGCAGGTGATTTCCAATAGCGGAACAAAAAAAAAAAAAGACCACCCTGCTTTAGATTGACGTGTCTATTAAACCTAAAGGATTCTCATAGAGATTTATCCTGCTAGGCCACATTCATGTCATTTAAATGCTGATTTTTGGAGTCCCTGTCAGTGTGTGCGTTGGGACAGAATCAGGAATGATCTGTTTTCTCATCTCAAGACCAAAAGACGCCAGAGTGCATATTTGTAATAGGCCTCCCACCACACAAAAATCTCAACGCGCGATTTATGTGAGCTTTTAAATGGGAAACTGCAACCTGTAACTCTAAGATGCATCTGCATAAGTCAGCGATGTGTACTCTGAGGCACAATTTACACCCTTCGCACTGATAAACAGCCATGTCCGGCTGGACGGAGCAGAAGAGATGGAGATGTTTTACCCTAGATGGCTCTCTTATCTGTCGCCGTGAACGAGTCAAGGTTCAAGTGCTGTTTAGATTTGGGGGGAAGGGGGAATAGAAATTCCACGCCATCTGAAGCCAGACTCCTCCATCAAGAGCAGGAGAAATGGGAGATGGACGGCTTGGGGAAAAAAAGGAACGAGAGCTGCTATGAGAGCAGGTACAAATGGAAACATGAAGTAAAAACCATAAGGTGCTCTACAAATGTAATAATATTTCTTTTGGGCAGTGGTGATGTTATATTTGAAATAATGCTTACAGGAAACTGGAACTAGAGAAAGGGAGAGGAAATGTGGCAAAAGGTCCACATCAGGGGCACAGCTACATGGGGGGGCATGGCTTTAAAACAGGGCAGCAGCAGTGGTACTTTTAACTGCAATACTTTGAGATTATGTTTGTGTATAACCATAAAATGACAACAAAAACAGAGTAATGATTTTTTTCACATCAATATACTAACGAGATATTTACAGAACTCCTGCATTTTTCAGGACTAGTTTTTATATTTTATGGTGAAAGGGAAAATGTAAGTCATCCATATATAATACCTAAACCTGTTTAATATATCTATATATTAATTTATAGATATATTAAAACTATTTTTGTAAAGAATGCAATCTGCAATAATAATAAATTTTGAAAAAAGAAAATACAAAAGTGGAAACCAGCAAAGTTTTTCTCTAAAACTTTTTTGATTAACAAGTTTTTCAGAGTTTAATTTCTAGATTTTTTCTTATTTCCATATGCAAATGTGTTTTTAATTTCAACAATGACGGAACAAACTTAATCCCTTCCAGATGCACACAGTCACTCAGCCATTCACGGAGTTATTAAACTCACCTTTTCACTTTCAAACAGGTGAGTCCTCACATTCAAACATTCATTTTAAATTCCATGGTTTTATGCTTTTGCAATCATATAATGTAACAAATCATCAGCTAATTAAGGCAAAAGAGTTCAACCTATCTCTAAAGCTAGCAGCAACAAGTGGAGGAGGGGCAAGCCTTTGTTACTCTTTATTCCATACTATTAAAGAAACTTTTTTTTCCTGAAAGAAAGGAATCAGAAATCGTAGTATTTTGGAAATCAAACCGTTTTAAAACCAACATAAGATTTGAAATACTCAGCTGTAGACATTTTCTAATTTCTAGCAACAATTTCACTTTTCTAAAACATAATTTCACACTTTTTAAATATGAAATAAATTGGTTTCTTTTTGATTCCATGATTTAAAGCAAGAGGTCAGCACCAGCCCTAACTATTAAAAAGAAGACAAGGTAGTAAATGGGGTCCGAGGCAGCTGGGCTCCTGCCAAGTGTTTCTGGGTACGCATCATTTTACCACCTGCCCCCATGCCAGCATGTTAAAAACGCACTACAGGCAAACCCCTGTTTGTGAGTTCACCACATAACAGTCCAAAACAACTGCTGCCAATAAACACACAAACTGCCAAGGGGCCTCATCTGAAAACAGAGTGCCCTTCTAGTCCTCTCTGTTTCAATCTGACACTTTCAGTTGAAATTTTTTATTATTTTTTTTACTCCACAGGATATTCATTTCCCTAAGATTTGTGTTTCCAGACTCCTTTCTTCGATTAGTTTCAGATCAGGACAGAATGTTTTACCTTTCGGGGTCATTCAGCCTACTTCAGGCTGTTGGAAAGGTTCTGTTTGCATGATAGAAGCTCAGACACTAAAAGAGTATGAATGCTTAAATGAAACAAAAAAATTGCGGGTAATCACAGTTACATAGTGATTAATCAAAAGGACTGAACACCTTTTCCCTCCTTGCTTTTTATGTCTCCTAAAGCCATTTTTTTTTATATCAAAATGAGTTTGATGATCTTAAAATAAAAACAAATGATGCAGTAGCTGAGGGGAGACAATATTTTTTTTTAAATCTTTTTAAATTTAATGGAAATAAAGCATTCAAAGCCACTTCATATTTCTCACACCAATGAAATTTCAATAAATCTAGCCTATGTTCTCCTTCAATCTCCTATGTTGTCCCGACGCATAATATTTAGTCCACCTACTGCATTAAACTGTGGTACAGCTCAGGAACTCAGAGCTAAGGAGTCTGACATTGAATGCCAAAGTAAAGAGCAAAAACATTAATCTGAAAAATGAGTTAATGCTAGAAATAACAAAGGCCCCATGTTTCAGTGCCTGTTCATAGAACACACCCAAAAAAAAAAAGGAGAAAGAAATGAGGTTGTGTCTTCACTTTGCTGCTGAGTGCCAGTAAATGGAAGCTGACAGCAACACTTTGCACGTCCAAATTTATGTCAGGCCCCGTGACTTCAGCTGCAGACCCCACAGCATCATGACAGAGAGAC